GGCGAATAAGATGTTTGGTGAAGAAGACGACGACGACATGGGTGGTATGCCTATGCCTGTGAGGAAAACTCGCCGCGTTCGCGACCCATACGCAATCGACTTTAGCGACGAAGAAGAAGATGATGATTTGGACATAGCCCCCCGGCCTCCCCCTAAGAAGGAGGAGAGCCTCGCAGAATTTCTGCTCAACTACGATCCCCCGCCGGAGCCCCCATCTCCGCCCATGAAGGTGCCAAAGAAGAAGACCAGCACACCCGGTCTAATTGGCCGGTTTACTCGCAGTGGCTCTAAGGAAGTCAATACTTTCAACGAAGGCCGGGCACCCGGCAGTCGAGCCAGTGCCTTGGGATTTGGTAGCGAGGCACGTTCGATGAATGGTCGAAGCAAGCACACTCCGATCCAGATGCCAGCGGGCTACGATGCATACGGGCCGACTAACGTCAACCCTCCTCCTGTGAGCATGAACAATATCAACAGAGCCCCCATGAAGAGATATGAGACACGGGAGCCTGTCTCCTATGGACAGACCGCGGATCTGGCGAGATTTCTGCGCGATTCAGAACCTCCGCCGGAGATTGTTCCCGCTCAAGCTCCAGTCCCGCAGGACGAGCCCAGTGGATTCGCCAGAATGTTTGGGCGAAGGAGAAAGGCATCCGTTGTTTAGGGGCCGATGTCACCGTATTTTCACAATATGAGCTTACATTCTTGGCTCATCCCCCCTTTCTTTTTCGAAAACGCTGCTTGCTGGCATTGCCTGGCCCCGCGTTTTACATTTTGCATTTTGCATCTGATGTTTCTCTTGCATTTGATATACTTCCTACTCGAAGATATTTATCCTTGCTTAAAAGAGTATTGATAAATGGTCCAGTCGACGGGGATTGGGTAGAGCATTTGATGGCAGCGTGCTCTTTACATCACATTATTCATTTTATTACATCTACGATTACTGATACCCCGAGATTAATCATACGGACTGGAGAGATTCTGCGTTTAAGAGCAGTCGAGATATAGGGACTGATAATTACTAAATGGGAGGGGGAACATTGCCATGGAGGCGGAAAAGAAAAACGTTGGGCGGACTCGAAGGCTGGTTTCATTAGTCCTTTCTTTTTCACTTTTTTTTTCACTTTTTATTCTTTGCAGGCATTTTCTTCGTTAGTTGTGTTATTTAGATGAATGGATAGCTCGTGCTACATGATTGTCACTGTGTATTCGGTGAAGGAATAAGGCGTTGTTATACTTGCTAATATCTCCCGCTAAACTTGGCAATTTATTTGCAGACGCCTTAATGGTTCAATATAGACCTCGAGGGACCCATTGTAACAACGGCCAGTGTGAAATAGACGTTTTGAAACATGTGATGAGCATTAAATACTTGAAAACTAGATTGCATATAGTAGCCTGCCGAATATCAGAAATAAAATAGCCATCGATGCCTCTTGCCAGCGAGGCGGATCGGAGCATTACTGCGTTATATATATATACGTGGTACCGCCTGAATCCATAGATAAAAAAAAAACAAGAAAGAAAGGAAAGAGGAGAGTAGAAGCAATAAGACGCGACTAAGAAAGCAAAATCGTCATTTCCCACCAGGAGATCAATAGATCCAGGCTCGGGAAAAAAAAACCGACGTAGCAATAAAAGATATAGAGCCACCCTTCTCACTGGGGGCAGCCACCGATTAATCCAAAAAATAACACAGCGGGATGAAGGAAAAATATAGATGATCAAGTTGACGATAAGAAAAGTAACAAAGCCAAGCAAAAAAAAAAAAGGTAAAAAACTCCGGGCGACGTTGTTCCCAGTCGCTCTCACCGACCAGAAACCAAAACCTTGCGCCACGCTAAACGACACAAAATCATAATCATAGCGATGATAAAGCCATAAAAGCATAGCCGGGGGATGAAAGAGGCCCCCCCTTCAGTCGATCCAAACCAAATTATAACGTAGCAAGCAGTAGTAGTGAGGCGGGGAGCGGATATGATATAGGTTGAGTCCTTTCATGCAGATTGGAGTATAGAGGCGGACGTGGAGGTCATTTTTTGTCATGCCGGAGCGCATGTCGTGTTGAAAAAGACATGACGTTTCTTTTGATTGGATCGGAGACAGTTGTGATTTGACGAGGCGCCACCTTAAATCTCCATCTGTCCTGCAACATCCTCGCTCATAAGCCTCTCCCGCCTGGGACTCGTCATGTCGTAGTCGTCATCTTCGTCCTCGTCCTCGTCAACGGGCTCATCTTCAGCAAAGTCGTCGTCTGAAAACTGCACAATATCGCCATCCTCGCCACGGTTCCAGTACAAACCATCGTCCAGCGGCTCTTCGTCGTCCTCGTACGGCGGTACTAGCTCAGCGTCCTGATCGCCTAGCCAATACTTTGTGCGCTTCTTTGCGCCGTCTGACTCGACCGCCGTGTGTCGCTTGTGGACGCCACTCTTTACGGGTCTCAGTGTCGGGCTCTGTGATGAGATGACGGGGACGACGCGGACATAGAGATAGGCAACTCTCTTGAGCGCCCTGTTGAAAAAGAAGTAGTGCACCGCCCAAATGGCGCTTTCGTCTTCCTCAAAGGGGTCGACCTCTGGGTGGTAGCTGAAGATGGTGCACTCGTTCAAGCGCATCTCTTTGTTGATCAAAGACCAGCACTGAGGCCCCCACTGGGCATTGACGTCGCTGCCAGCGGAGGAGTCATATGAGGAGCCCAAATCGAACCCAGGTCGTGTGTTTTGCAGGATCGAGTCCAGGTTGGCCATGACACGCTTCAGGTTCCTCTCACGCTTAAAGTCGCCGGGCCGCAGGACGTGGGAGAAGTCGTAGTGAGGATGGCTCGCGTTGAGCGTCGCAATCAAGTAAGCAAACGTCCGCCGACTGGAAAGCTCGGACAGCGGGCCAAATGCGCTCGAGTGTGAGAAGAGCTGCATGCTGCGCGACGTTGCCAGCATGTGCTCTCTGTCGGGTGGTGACAGGCTGGCGCCCAGCTTGAGCAGCGCAGCATGTTGAGAGCTGAGATCTTTGTCGATGTTCTTGTAGAGTTTCTTGTCGGATCCGGTAGACTTAGTTGTGTAGAGATCGCACCCGCCTGTGACATTGCAGTCGGGCGTGTTGAAATTGAGAGCGCCGGTTACGGCCTCGAACTCTTGGACTGGGAGGTACTGCGTAGTGGGGATGTCTTGTCAGCCGGGGATTGTCTCACGCCGGAGTTCAGCTGGTCATGTATTCCACTCACCTTCATGTTGGCTGCTGGATGCGGCTCTGGTTCTTTGCATTAATTGATAGAAGGGGGGGGATGAGCTGATAGAGAGAAATAACGTGCGGTGAGGACCGTGAATTGCCTCGAAGCTGGATCTCCGAGCGATGAGCGGTGAATGCGACAGTAATGGAAGCGAGATTCAGAGACGGAGACTCAAAATGTCTCTAAAGCCGGCAAGATTGGTAGCGGATGACGTGCGGTATCGCTTTGTTCAGGGGTTCGTGTTGCGCACAAGGAGCACTCAAAGGCGAGGTCTGGTTCGTCGCAGTGACGCTCGTCGGTTGTTCGGTCTCTACTCTGGGACCGTAGTCGCGGATCCGCACGGCGATCGAGTTGGAGCAGGGGGGGAGAAGCGCTGCGATACAATCAAGTCCAGCGTCCCAGTCGGATTCTGCCGTGCAATAAGTAGTAAGTAGGGAGAAGAGCCGGGATCGTAATCTTGGTAATGATTGTCTGGTCACCCAAGGCGAGGAGGGTGAAGGAGGAGAGAGGAGGAATCAGGGGATTGGTGGTGTTGCGGCAAGGCTCGACTTGAGATCTAGTAGCGCTGCCGTTGTCGACGCTAAGTGCAGCTGATTCGTGAGCAAGGAGACAGGGCTGGATCAAGACCGGCAGATTGAAAGCCTAGGAGGGCTAGTGAAGAGAAGAGGGATTGAGGGAGAGAGATAGAGAGAGGAGAGCCGGCGGCACTGTGTGGTTTAGTGGACAAGAAGCCGGATCGAGGGGTGACACGCATCAGCATCCCGACGTTGGCAGCCCAGTGACATCAATCAGTCGCCAGATGGTGGGGGCTTTGCGCGTGCTGCAGCGGTGGAGGCGGAGGCAGGCGGAGGCAGGCGGAGGGTGGGCTCACTGTAACTCGCTGTATTTTGGGGGGCAATAGGGGAGGTTGAGCGCTGTAGCCGTGCAAGCCGTGCAACCATGCGGCCTCAGCTGGTTTCTCTGCCGGCGGCGTCCTCAAAACTCCCACGTCGAGCTGTTGATCCGAAGCTAGACAAGCCAGAGCAAAGTTAGAACGTCCATCGCCATTCCGCGCATGGCCCACGTTCCTCAAGCCAGCGAGTTGGTGGGTTTTTGGCGCTTCTCCTTATAGTTCCGAATCCGATCGCCGCGTCGGCTGCGCCCGGCAAATGGCCAGATGGCCCGGATAGTGCTCGTAAGACGACCAAGAACAGCACCACCACAACAGACACAGCTACTGCCAGTCGTGGTGCGGGAAAAGAGGGGGCCAAAGTTGGCAGAGTGGGCGCTTCTGGCGAGCCCATTTGCTGGTGTCAGCTTTGGCAGTGTAACGAATAACGATGCATGGAGCTGCCACGCGCGACAACGACAAGAGGATGTGACGCGGGAGGCCGGAGCGAGACGAGACGAGACTGTGCGGTAAGTGGATTGGATTGATTGGAATCACTGACGATGTCAAAATGTTCTGGAATTGGCTTCGACGCTGTTGCTCCTTCTTCTCGTCTCCTGGTATTATTAGATTCACACCTCAACCAAATGGCCAAGTCCTGGCCCTTGCTCATCAATGCCGGCAACACGTCCGCCGGCTCCGGGCATCGTTCCCCTGATGCCTCTGTTTTCTCTTGACATGGGAGAGGATGGTTTTCCATCCTCCAAGATCTATAAACACAAAGAAAAATGACGCCATATTCTCTCTCCCAGCACATCCACATCAACATCCCTATCCCCTTATCCCCAGTTTGTCCTCTCTTCCCATCGAAGAGATGCTCAGTCTCCTGAGGCTTGTGTATCAAAGAATCCCCACTTCGCGAAGCTTCTCTGTGATTTGCTCGGCCTGCTGCACCAATTGTTAACTATCAAATCCATCTCAACTCTTGCGCCTCGATGACTCCAAGAAGCTGGTGGGACGATAGGGGCATGTTCTTGTGTGGTAGGTGGTGATGAAGGGCCGGCCGGTGGAAACAGATCGCTCGTCCAAAGTTCGCGCGCTTGAGTACCCAATGCCGTATGTGCGCAATTTATAGGATCTTGGTGACCTCGTCTTCGACCTTTTGCGTTTAGGAAATTCGGTGTCAGCTGTGTCAAAGTCGCATAGCCTTAACCGGGAACGAGGCGGCGGAAACGCATCACGCCAGGGGAGGTGCCGGGGGTCGGTGCGATGCGGCCGTCACAATGAACCGTGTATAACACTCACCTCCATGTCTTCGAGTGAATCCTGCTGTCCGATACAGCGCAGCACGTTCTTCTTGCTGCTCTCCTGTAGCTCTCCGGCAAGAAGTAGCTCGTCGAGGATGTAGTATGCCTTTGTGAAGGAAAAGATGATGTCGAGCTCGCACACGTTGCCGTAGTACTTGTCCATCTGCTCGACGTATCGGTGGATGATTTCAAGCGTAATCAGCTCGTTGTCCTCGGATGAGCATCCTGCGATGAAGAAGAGCGAGGCGTATCGTCGATATACAATTTTGGTGTCTAGTGATGACAGATATTCATCAGTTCAACTTGCCATGGGCAAAAAAGGCAACGGATGGGATTTGGCATTCGTCACGCACCTTTGTACTCCAAGAAATTGCACATGCGTGTTCTTCGAGCGAGGACCAGCTGTGAGACATCCTTGACAATCTTGGCCTTGTCCTTGGGGGACAGCGTGGTGAACCACTTGGCAAGACGCTGATGGGGAGATGGTCGGTCAGCAAGACACGCTCGTGGCATATTCATATTCCACCGCCATTCAACGGCAACGAGAGGGACGAGGAGCTACGCACCACTTTCCCCTGACGGGACAATAGAATCAGATAGCTAGAGAGAGATGCCGGTCAGCATCATTCCGACGGGCGCCACAGCAGCAGCAGAGGCGGTACGCACTGAATCGCCATTGTGACGGCTCTCTCACATCACCCGCGACAAGGTGACAGAGGCGAGATGTGGTTTGAATAAGGTAGACTTGAGGCTGGCGTCTCTTGTTCGGACCAGGTACATGTAAGTTTGCCAGGTCGGTGACGAGGCAGTAAGCGCGTGCCTTGGACGGGAGGACATGCTGTACGTACTCCGGTACCTTGCTCCGCGCCCCGTTTTCCGCTGGTCTGGGCCGTACCTTGTGCCCCTCTCTTTGTCACCACGAACCTTCAGCGCTTGGCAAGACGATAATAGCGCTAGAGAGCCCTGCAATTTTAGGGCCCGGACCAGATTGGCTTGTAAGGCTCAACCCCGCGTGGCCTCTGAGGTCAATTTCAGTTGATTCCATGACGAGTCTATTGTCCCCTAAAGGGTCCTCGCTAAATATTATTATTCCTCGAAACTCAATTTGAGACAGGTTGTATATACTCAGGTATGAGCCTAGATGGAGAAACACGGAAGAAAATGAACCACGAGACAAACAGTGGGGAGATTCTCTCGTTTTCTGGGACGTCACCAGGCACATATAAAAAAAGCATCATACGAGCAACCCCTCCTCAAGCAGCCTCTTCAGTATCGGCAAAACTATCAAGTAGAAGAGCCATCAGAACAGCTTATACCATCTGTTTACAAATTCTCTCTCCGAGGCCGCATCCCCCCAATATCCACTCAGCAACCCCCATTACTAATGCGTGCTATGAACCGCCACAAGCGCCGTCTGGAGTAGGGACTACGGGATATTACCATCACATTTAGTTAGGCATTTTTGACAAGAAAAAAAAAGTTATTGCTCGCATATGCCGAGAACCGGGTTAATTGCTTTTTTTACCTTATAGAGCACTATCGAACCAAAGTCGGCCTCTTATCTCCCCATCTTGTTATCTTTCATCGTTTTTTTTTTATTCTTCGAGTCTCCCGCCCTAGGGCTCTATCCCATTGCAGATATCTACCTAGGATTCCCAAACCAACATCACAATGACCAAGATCATTCTCTCCACGGGGTTTGTCCCTCTTTCAGGTCTCTAACATGCTCCCTCCGCTAACTCACACGCCATGGCAGCAATGTCATGTCCGGCGGCCCATCCATCATTCGCAAAGGCGGCGGCAACTCCAAATCGAACCAAGAGCTCGTCAACTCCCTCCGAGACAACTTCGTTTCCACGCGGCTAGACTATGCGATCGATGCCTCGCCCGCCAACGGCTCCAACTCCTTGCCCTCACCCCCTCAGACGCCGGTGGAGGTGTGGACGGAGCTGGACGACAAGACTCTCTACATTCCCAGAATCAACTGGCAAGCGGCCGGTCTGCGCGAGGAGGCTAGCGACTACGAAATCACCGTCAAGCTGTTCCTCCTCCCGGGCACGTCAGTTTCGGCGCGAGAGCAGTATGCGCGCGAAGCGCTCGATCTGGTTCGCAAGGAGCTCAACATCCAGGCAATCGACCTTCTCATCGTCTCCTTCCCCGGAATGTCGTTTGAGGGCACATGCGAAAAGGAAGCCGAGCGCATCAACGCCCAGCAGGGTGACCTAGAAGAGGAACTGGCGTCGTGGAAAGTCTTTGAAGACCTTCACAGCCAGGGGCTGGCCAAGCGACTCGGTGTTGCCGAGTTTGGGAGCGAAAAGCTTCGCGCCTTTATCGAGCGCACGTCGATCCACCCAACTGTCGACCAGGTCAACCTTCAGGACTGCTGCAACGTGCCCGCGCCCCTCCAGAGACTGGCCGAGGAAGAGGGCGTGGAGTTGAACGTCCATACTGACTGCACTGATATCCTCCCTCGTGGCACGTTGCGAGAGCTGCTCGGCCACGGACCCCGGGGAGCTGGAGTGCTGGCAGATGCTGCTCACGGCGGTGCCGGTCTGGAGGGCGAGCTCTCACCTCAATGGGTTGTTCGATATGTGGCATTTGTCAAGGATCGCGGTGTCATCGAGAACAAGGGCTACTTTGCAGGAGCTGAGCTTCAGTAAACGGACGGATTGTGTCGGCATTTTTTTTTTGGATATCATGTTTCTTTTGTCACTAAAAGCGATATTTATTGTTTGTTTGATTTAGTTTGTCCATTGGGATATCATAATAGCGGGCATCATTACAGGGAGCTATGTCACATCATCTCCTCCCTTCTTTCTCTTGCTAGTGAGAAAGAACAGAGAATAAAGAATTTTCTTTTCTTTTTTTTGTCTTTGTTTGTCTCATGTCACGTTCTAGCCGAGCATGCTTCTCTTGCGGCCCCTCATTCTCACTTCTTCTAGTTTCTTGAGAGCCACGCCAGCCTGCTTGAAAGACTTTTTGTATGCCTCCAGGACCTCGCCAAATACGCATTCAGCCCGGGGGTGTGTGCTGCCAAAGGCACGCTCAAGGACGTACAGGTCGACTGCCCGATCTTCATCGTGTACTCCTCCACTGGCGAGTCCAAGGTCGATGATGACAATCTCTCCCTCGAGTCCACTCACGTTGTGGGTTTCGGCCTGGCCCGCGGGGGGGTTCAACATCATGTTGCTCGTCGTCAGGTCGCCGTGGATGATGCCGATGCTGTGCATCTTGCCCACAGCAGCGCCGATTCTCCGCATCAAGTCCTTGAGCTCCTCGTCGTCCTCAATGCCCTCCGTCCTGTTCCCCAGCCTCTGGTTGATGTTCACTCGCACGGGTGTGCCTTGGACCCATTCCAACATCAGCCACCCCGCTGACTCGTCTATAGCATAGACATCGGGAACACGGAGGCCATCTCTGCGACACTTGGAGAGAATGCGAGCCTCAGACAGGATGCGGTGCCTCGTTAAGCGCTGGTCCAGGATCGGGTGTCGCCATGGCTTCGGCGGCCGGTACTTTAGGGCGCAGGGGATGCTGGGCAGCAGGTACGTCGTCTTGTAGAGCCGACCTTCGGCGCCTTGAGTGATGAGCGTTGGCGGGGTCGACGCGGGGCTGGTGAGGATCGCGGGCAGCGGAAATTCATGCACCACGGCTTCCGAGGCGGTGGCCGCCATGGTTGGAGGTTTTGGCGGGAGGCGGGAGGCGGGAGGAGAGAGAGGAGAGAAATTTGTTTAGGTACCAGTGTTTAGGCACAATCCCGGATAAGATAATAGAAACTTCTACAGATGGACGAAACAAGCCTGCTTCGGGGTTGGACCGCTGCGATGCACTCTGCAGGTCATCGCAAAAGTGCTTAACCGCAATTCACGGCCCTTTTTTCCTGCAGCAAGAAAAAAAATGGAAGAGAGAAAAAGCTACTACGGCGCTGTAGTGGGGTTGACAGCGAGGGATTGCCGGTGCCATTGGTTGGGGATCGACGCCCGCCAGCAATTCAAGCGTAAAAAGAGGCCGATATGCAGGACAAGGGAAGACGATGGAAGCTCAAGTCTCTGGACAGTCTGCCATTCGTGGGCTGGACTGGGTCCGCTTCTGCAGGGCTGCCTCTTTGATGAGACCGGGTTTGGGGATGATGTTTCTGGAAGAACACTCTCGACACATAGATTGATAGAATATTTGATCGGCCTCCCGGTGTAAATCAGATCTACCTATGCTGGTCTTGATGCCTCAGGTACTATAGTACCTATATGATATCTCCAGTACTTCCAGGTTCTTTGCAGCAGCAATCTCAGACTCCCTCCCGTGCCATCATGAGAACGCCGTACGACAGACATCCCATGTGACTCCTCCAGTCTTGACCCTTCCCCAACGAACCCTTCCCGTCGTCATAGTAGCTGAGTCTAGCTGATGCCCTTGCAGGGGCTGACGCAGGCGAGTGCGGAATCCGGAATCCGTCATGTTTGCTTTGCTTTGCTTGCTTGCTTCGCCTCTGTGCTGTGTGCTCCGAGAGCCCGACACGACACACACACACAGTATCTGCTCTTCCGCTAGTAGCACTATGAGTCTACCTGCTTCTCCTCCCTCGGCTTCTTAGCCCACGATGCTTGCACAAATGCCTTGGTTTGGTTCTAAAAGAGAGAGTTGTTGGCATTACTAGGTACTAATTATTTAGGTACCTCTCTGCTGCCACACCAGCCCTATCAGGGCTTGGATCAGGGCTCCTCCTCCTCCTCCTCCCCTACGTAATATCGCAATCCGGTTCGCCGCATTAGCTGGTGATTCCTTTTTTCCTTTTGATTCTTTCTTCTCTCTTCCCTCTTCTTCTTCTTCTTCTTCTTCTCTCCTCCCTTTCTCCCCCTTGCCATCCACCAAAGCTCCCCGCCTCCTCCCGCCGGACCATGCCTCTGCCCTTCCAGGACGACATCACGACTTGTGCTTCGTTGCCCTCCGCTGCATAATGGCCGACTCAGGCTGGCTCCAGTGGGCCTACCTCTTGGCCACCACCGCCACTGGCATGGCCATCGTGATGATCGCACAGACTGCGAACTCGTACTGGGCGGCATACAAGGTTGCGCCGCAGGAGGTGGCTAGCTTTATTGACACTCTTGATTTCTCCATCGAGGAGAACGAAGGTTACGACCGGGACGTCTCCAAGGTCCAGCGCCTCGAGGACAAGATTCGCCTTAACCGCCTGCTGAGGGAAATCCAGAAAATCGGCGATGATTTGCGCGATGAGCTGAGCTGCCTGGTCCTTGAGGAGGGCGCAACCACGCTGCGGACCAGCTCGAGGCTCATGTGGGCGTCGAAACGCTCGCAGCTGGAGGAGAGAATGAGGCGGCTGGAAACGCTGCGCATGCGCTTCATGATGGTCTATCTAGGCATTATAACCTCAATCGCAGAAAAGCAGCCGCCGCCTCCCCCTCCGCCACCGCTGCCCAAGCAGTTGCCGGACAAGACCACTTACACAACACCCACCAGACCCTCGGCAAAGAAGTCGTTTGACGATCTGCACCGGCGCACGCCTACCCGAAGACTTACCACGCAGGCCATCGGCCACAATGAGCACGTTGAGACACCCCAGCGCAGCGGCTGGGCTGGAGTCGTCCAGGAGTTGCAGATGTCGCCGCGGATGCGGGCACGACACGCCTCCATCGAAAAGCTCATGGAAGACTCGTCACCTTAGAAGCAAAACCTAGCATCAGCTTGGGGTTTTTCTTGCTTTGTTGGGCCGATCTCCTTCCCTTACTCTTTCTTCATTCCCCCCTTTTTATTACTTTAATGTATTCCACATCCGGTTCCTCTCGAGACGAACCGGCTATGATTTAACATTCCTACACACACACACAACTCAACGGCATGCAGACGGTAGAAGTTTACCATGACATGGCCATGACTTTCGTTACGAATCTTACACGACACCACCAGCAATATGAACGAATAAAGAAGGACGAATTGATAGGCTAGAACAAGTGTTCGACGGCTAGCTTTACTTTACGACGTATGAGACAAGAAAAAAGAGTTTCAGGTTTATGAGGCACGAATTGATCTCCTTTGTTTTATGGCGCCCGCTGATATGGATGGGACATGGATGGGATACGGGTGTGGGCGGTGAACTATATCCAAGTCTTTTGATGATTTTCTCCTTTGTTCCTCTCTCTTATTCAACCCCATCACATCACACTTTATTCTTAGATAGGATACCCCGTTTGTTTCACTTTCTTTTCATTTCACCAAGATTGCTCACGCAAGCTTCTCCCTCTCCAGCTTTTTACCTCTCAACACAGTTAATCACTTTCTTTTCTTCTATGCAACCTTTTTACACTCATTATCATTCAGCTCTACGCTTGCTCCATTTCCTTCACTTTGCCCTTGCCTGTTTTAAATTCACAATGAGTACCGTCTCCGAGGCAAATTCCCATCAATGAGCAGATAAAACAGCATCCGGGCCTGTACCATTCTTCTCGCCCACTGTATGCAGAGTTAGAAATTTGGCAAACAGAGTTAAAAATAAAATACAAGTTTGATGATGAGCTTGAGCTTGACTTACCATCCAGAGCGACCAAGAATCTGCTCACGCAGTTGTAGGCAGCGACCTGTCATGCCAATATTCCGTCAGTAAATCGAAATGCAGCGTTTCATTAGCCGCAAGTAAAAGCATCTTACCGTCGCCGTTATCTCTACAACCTCCTGGTCGTTAAAGTGCTTCTTCAACGCCGCAAACGTCTCGTCCGAGACTTGCACATTCTTGGTCATCTCATCCGCATACACCAGCGTCGCCCACTGCTTCTCGCTCAACAGCCCCTCCGGCCTCTCCCCCAACGAGTCACTCTTGATAGCTTCCAAGGCGTCCTCGCTCACGCCGCCCTGGACGGCCAGCGGCGCGTGGTGGCCCCATTCATACCACGCCTTGTTGCACACGGCAACGCGCGAAATGGCCAGCTCGCGCACGTCGTCGCTGAGAGAGGTCTTGGTGCGGACGGCGCCGAGGAACGAGTTCCAGCCGTCTGCTACGGGGGGCGAGTGCAGGAGGGTCAGGTCCAGGGCCTGGAGAGGGCGAGGGGCTCGACGGTCTCGGATGCGCTGCACGATGGCGGCGTCTTGCTCGGTTTGAACCGGGGGAGGATCGGCGACGTAAGGGAGACGCATGGCGACGGCGAAGATGTGATGTTTAGGTGCTAAACTTGTTAGTCTTCAGAGGAGTGAACGAAAATGATGCTGTTGAATGTCCACGTTCTCTCATATATATCTCAAGGTCCGGGGGAGATGCTGGGCGGATTCGGCAGAAAGCGCGGGGTACCGGAGTCACATTCCCGACCCGCCGTCCACATCGGGGCCGAAAACCGGCAATTGCTTCTTCCATGATAGAGCAGGGGTCGGGACGAATGTTTTTGAGTGCTACAGTAACATTGGCTCAGCTCTGCTTGGAGTCATTAGGCAGTTATCCTGGGTTGTTTACAATATTCGGAAGGAATTGCAACATTCTTATGAGTCTTAAGCAAATGGAGAGAGAGATTGTCTTCCTCTTACGGTCTACTCCAAAGAAGAGGGCCTTGAATTGCTAGCTGCTGGTTGCCCACGATTGACTCACCTCTAAAAAGTATAGATGACTCCAAGTGCATTCCGGGTCCCAATATTGGAGGATATCTGATGGGATGAGAAACTTAGAGGACGCAAAACCCACCTGGGTTAAATCGCCCGGGCACCTGAGAAGCATGATGCAGATCAACAAATGCCACTTCTGAGCCAAAAGAGCAGGCCACAACGAGCCCAACATTGCCCAAGTGGATTCGCGCGGCGTAAGCACAGATCAAATTCGGCCAACAGCTAAAAGGCAAAAGGGGAAAAAAAAAAGAAACAGAAACAGGTTCTGGAGGGAGTCGAACCCTCGCTGCCGGAATCAAAATCCGGAGTCATAACCGTTAGACCACAGAACCATGAAGGTTCATTGGTCAAATTTCCCATATTTAGCATTATAAACCTCTAGCGAAATGATATTGTCTTTTTTACTCTAGGGTAGCGTTGCGACTCCGCGGAAATGTCAACGTTGCGTGGGAGCTGGATTTCAAATATGGCTGAAAATATTTGTCGCTGGCCGATTCATCTTTTTATTAAGATTTTGTAACATTGAAATGATAGTGGGAGGGGCGCATTGCTTCGAGCTGCGTTTTGTAGACATTGAAACAAAGCGTCATTGTTGCTGTGAATCAGCCGCGATCCCTGGACTGGCACTCAATTGTGTCAGCAGCAGCATACAAGTGAATTGAAAGAGAAAAACATCAACTACCTCTGCATGTGCCCGGTTTCACGCATGCTTGGCCTAATTTGTATAATGCTCGATGCTACATTGCATGGTGGATAAGAGTTTGCTCGGGAGTCTAACCGGAAACATTCAGCACAGTGCGTCGACGAAGGATTCTATCTGTGAACGATCAGACAGGACACTTTGTGTGCGTAGATGTTATAGACGACCTTTATCTAAGGATTGTAAATCATCGTGACATGCAGATGCTTGAATTAGTCAAAAATGATACATCGGACCCAAGAATTCCGATTTGAAACGAACCCATTGGTCGCAATCACGTTGCGCTGTCGCTACAACTTGCCTATTCTGACTCAAAGCGAGCGAGTCCAAATGACAGTGTCCAAACTGTCTACAACAACCGTGTAAGGCGCATAGCTTTCAGCAGGATTCGCACTTACACCTTTAGATCTCTCTCCTCCCAACTTATTTTCTTGCCGCTCTCTTCGACAGCAGGAAAATAAACATAAAATGAGAAGCTCTTATTTCGATGATCTTGCGGCGCCCTTTGAGGCCGACCGGCTTATCGAAATTCGCACGTCTGGAATGAAGCAAATGCCGGGTTTGGCCATCATGTCGGGCATTGACAAGGAGCTCCGCACTGTCTCGATGAAAGTCGATAAGCTGGGACTGGAAGGGGATGAGCACGATCTTACATTTCATGGCGGCGTGGACAAGGCAATTCTTGGATGTGGGCATTCCTCAATGGCTGCCGTGAACTATAGACCAACTAATGACCGAGCTTGCTTTTATTAGACTGCTCCTCGCATTATCCATCCTGGCAGGAATCTTATCCCGAACGTGTCGACAAATTCGTCCCGGGAGGCTTCGGAGAGAACTTTGTCACAGCGCACATGAACGAGCGAAATGTCTGTATAGGAGACGTTATATCTGTTGGTCCCGAAGTGGTCCTCCAGGTATCGCTCCCGCGGCAACCGTGTTTCAAGCTCAACCACCGCTTTTCATTGAAGAACTTCGCCCCTGAAACTTACAAGACTAGTCGCACCGGATGGTACTATCGGGTCCTCCGTGGGGGCAACGTTAGCACTGGCGACGAGCTGAAGCTGGTTGAGAGGAAATGGCCAGAGTGGACAATTGAGCGCGTGCAGGAATATCTCCATCGCGTAACTGACAATGATGAGATGAATGAGAAGCTGGCAGAAGTGGAGGCTCTGGGCAACGAGGCCCGCGGTCAATTCAAGAAACGCGTGGCCAAGGCACAAAAACGGAAGCAGCAGAAGAAAGAAGATCCCTGGGAGGCTTACAAAGTGGTCAGCCGGAAGATGGAGACACCAAGGACGGTTTCGCTGGTCATTGAGGCAGCTCCTAACCCCCAGTCTGAGGGCTTTCCATCGGCGGCTCATGCCAAACTGAGACTCGCCAACGGACTTGTGAGGACGTATTCCGTCGTGTCAAATAGCGGCAAGAAAACCGAATCGGCCAGAAGATTGGAGTTTGGTATTGCTCTCGACGAAAATAGCCGAGGCGGCTCGCGTTATATCCACGAGTCTGTCAAAGTCGGAGACAGCATTGAAGTGGGTGGTGTGACGAGCGATGTCAACGGACCAGTCAGTGCAGCAAGCAACCACGTTTTTATAGCGGGAGGGATCGGCATCACGGCCTTTTTGGAACTCATGAAGATGTACGACTCTATTAACTGGAGCTTTCAACTTCATTATGCAGTACGATCCTCGGATGATGTGCCTTTTCGCGAACAACTGGAGTCGTATGGAGAGAGAGTCATAATATATGACAAGTCGAAAGACCAGCGGATGGATATCAAGAACATCATGAAGACCATGCCCTGGAACAGCTTCCTGTACGTCTGCGGACCCAACCGTATGATGGAAGCAGCCAAAGCTGCCGCCGAAGAGGCTTCCATCCCTCCCCAAGAGATACACTTTGAGGCCTTTTCCGCCGACACGACCGGAGATCCTTTCGAAGTAGAAGTTGTGAATAGGAAGAACAAGGTTGTCAAAGTGGGTGAAGAGGAGAGCCTCTTGGAAGTCCTTCAGCGCGAATTTGGAGATATTCCCTCGAGTTGCGAGGTGGGTAACTGCGGTACCTGCAAGGTTACTATCAAGAGCGGAGAGGTGATTCATCGAGGTTCGGCACTCATGCCGGATGAGAAAGAATCTTGTATGTTGACGTGTGTCAGCCGTGGTGTTGGAAGGATTGCAATTGAATTATAGATGTCGGGAAGGGTGTCTTCGTGTAAGGGTGTTACACATGTTCCGTTGCCAATTGAAATAAAATTAGGGAGTAGTTATTCAACACCTCAAGTTGGCTATCTAGCACCCCAGCGACTACATGAGTTTAAGCATTGGAATGGGAAAGTCTTTTATCTAGTACTATCACAAACATTTATTTCAGTAATAAATATAGTATCTAGTTCTTTACGATATCCGCTACTATAGCTATATTTCGCTAGTATTTACCAGTATGTCTATATTTCTCTAGTAACTGCTACTATAGTTGGGTAGATGTTTGTAGGATTTACTATCATAACTGTAGTCGTCCAGTAGAGCACTCAGTATTATTTGCGATAGGGATGCCAAATAGGCGTTCCGTAAATTTACTTTCCATCTTGAGGGGAATACCACGAATATGAATCTTCCAAGCACGTTGCAGCATCTTCTCCTACTTGCTTGCACAGTTCACGAACCTGGACAAAGGACTCAACATCCAGCGAGAAGGGCTCTTAATGCAAACATTCCGTTGGCACAGCATCGAACGGCGAGATGGCCGAGTTGGTTATGGCGTCAGGTTAAGGCTACCTTAACAGCAATTCCTGGTGGAGCAATCCGCGTGGGTTCGAGTCCCACTCTCGTCATTTTTTGATGGTTTCGAATATTCTTTTTTGCCGATAATAGCATCATGAGCTTCGTTTGATTGAAAAGAGTCGTGAGGAATTTCTTTTCATGTTGACAGTTTTTTTTTTGCGCTGCATTGCTCACTTTGTTCAGATGGGAGGGCCAATCCTTTCCGCACAGAGCGTCGAGTTGACCCACCCATATCGATACGAGACTGTGGGGCCGATTTTTTCTCTAGACTTCAAGAGTGTCGAGCTGCTAAACAAAACTTCGTCCTGCTGCTACACGCAAAGCCGAATCACCATCCACAAACACGCACATACTTCATCCAGGGGCCATAAATCGCTACAAGATGGTTCCCGTAGATGCGGCCGGCGATCAATTCGCCGTTCTCCCCATTCAGATGCCGCCAGTGCCTTCATTCCCCGAAACTGCCCTCCACGAAGTGCGGATACGAAGAAATGCGCCCAAAATCCCTACGGCGAATGATTCTCGCAGTCTATTCCTGAAGAATATTCCTGCCGATAGCACAGAACCCCATTTTAGGGCCGTATTTACCGAGCTCGTTGGTGCTGGACGATTCGAGACGATAGCATTTGAAGGAGAGGACAGGGCTGTTGTTGCCATTGACCCTGTCAGAGCAGTCAAGGCTGCTGCGCTCGCGCGCAAGCGGAAGAGAAGCGATGTGGAAGAAGAAGAAAAGGCGGAAGAAGAAGCCGCGCAGCTACCAGATATCTGGACGCGCCAACTTCACCGAAGCAGCAGCACCGCGATTGTGTTACTCGCCGATGAGAAGAGTGTGCAGCTCGTCCTTAAAGCGATTGCAAAGCTTCAGAAGACCAAAAAGTATCCTGTGTGGGGACAGGGCTTATCAGGCGATGTTCCACCACTGGGAGCTCCTTGGGTGTCTTCCCATCTGCGCCTTAGCCGTGCCGACAAGGCCGAGATACAAAAAGCTACACATGCATTCTTCAATGTGTTCAACAGGAAGGAGAAGGAAGCTGCTGAAATCAGCAAGCGACTACGCAACGAACCTGATGAAGATGGCTTCGTTACTGTTACTCGTGGTGGAAAGGGTACTCCTGCAAACCAATTCGAAGCCGAGGAGGCCAGACAAAAGATGATGGAAAAGGCGGCCAAGAAGAAGTCGGAAATGAAGGACTTTTACCGATTCCAGCTGCGAGAACGACGGAAACAAGAACAAGCGGAACTGCTGAAGCGTTTCGAAGAAGACAAGAAGAAGGTCAATGCCATGCGGGAAAAGAGAGGAAAATTCAAGCCCGAAACATGATGTGGATGGTCCCGTTACACACTGTCCGTATAGTGAAGTAAGTCGAACTTTTCATTGTTCACTTTTCTTTGCCCTCAAGCATGATGACGCACGCGGGGCCATCGAGAGGCTGGAATGGGCTCGGGTTAGCCTGAGCCCAGCTCGGCTAATGTCGACAAAAACCGCGTAAAACAATCTTCTCAAACTTGTCTGAAGCTTGAACTATAACCAATGGTGCTTTTATATGACGATTGAGGATGAGAAATGGTATTAATGCCATGCACAGGAACAATCGAGCTTTCGGTCTGATGAGGGCGTTGAACAAGCGAAGAGAAAACGAGGCATACGTGGAGCAATCATATGATTTGGTTATCACTTGTTGGAATCATGCAACTTCATCAAATATCGCATCAGATCTACCTCCTACTCTAGCTTGATGATCGCCGTCAGACTCACTTATAAGTTGAGAGCTAGGATCTGCTAATGCAGCAGCAAAGCTATCATGAGGATATCGTGCCGCGGAAGTGTAGGTGGATAATGATACCCCCAATGTATATAAATAATAAGAAACACTTTGGATATCCTCAGATCGGCTATGGCGTTCAAAAAGTTGCCCATCGCAGATACAAATATTTGAAAGCACAAACAATACATGATGGTTCAATGTACTTTGATTGTACAGGCGGCGCTGATGATACAGACTCGGACTCGAGAGTGCTCTTGAATCGAAAACTTTGAGAAATTTATTTTACATTTTGACACTCTTCCAAAATTACAAGAGAGAAACAAAAGAGAACATCCAATTCGAAGTAATATAGCCGTCTTGATAGTAGAATTCTTGCCTGGCGGGTTCGCAGATACTCCCGCTTAGTCAGCCAATCACTCGCGGCAACTTGGGCATTGTTTACTTTCTCCGCCTGACAACCAAAACTTGCGATAACAGAGGAGCAATACTGGAGACCATCATCGAGTGCTTCTGTCCACGGCAGCTTTGAACAAGAAGCATGACACTGCAAAATCGGAGATAAGATCAATATTTACACACAATTTTTATTCATCTCTGTTTTGCCTCCCAGCTGTGGCCTCACCATGATTGATACGGACAATCTTCGAACCGCCTCGCTATACATCAACAATCAGCTGCTCTCGAGAGGTCTGATCCGAGATGGCCACGACATTAATTTTGCAGACTTTGGAGAGAGGGGACTTGGGAGTCCTCGCAACGCAAGTCGCATCATCAGCCTATTGAACGATCTGATCCTCCGACGGGATGTAAGCTTTGCAGTGCTTCTTTTCCCTTGCGCAAACATTGGCTGACCCCTCTTCAGCGCGATGCAGAGCAGCGCGAATCCTTCTCAGCAACGGTTATCAATCTTCGAGCAGAGAACTTGAAACACACAAACGACATTGCCCGACTATCAGAGAAATGTGCCGACGCACAGCGAAGGAGCGACATCGCGGCGACGTCCGAGGCGAATATTAAGACACAGCTCAAGTCGGCCGAGTCTGTCGTGAAAGGACTTAAAGATGAACTAGCAAAGACAAAAGGATTGGTGGCTCAGGTGCGAGCATCATGCGCAACCGAGATACGGCGGCGCGATCGCCAAATCGAAACACTCAAGAAGCAAGTTGGCGAGGCGGGCCGTGCCAGAGGGACAAGGTCCGGCTCTGGAATCCTGTCAATTGCTGTGACGGGAGAGGTAAACAATGAAGAGAGGACGTCACCCTTGCATGGCGGAAACCTTGAGGACAAGGATTACTCATTGCGCAGCGAGACGAATACCTTTCTGGCGAGTCTGGCACAAAACCTGAGCGAGGAAAACGAAGTCCTCTTGGGAGTAATGCGGCAAGCGAAGGACCAATTGCGAGAAATGAGTGGATGGAGCGGGGAAGAAAAAGAGGGTTCTGAAGTGGTCAAGCCTCAAGGCTGGGAGGAGATGGCGTCGGAGCTGGGGGCCGTGATGAACCACATGAGAAACATCTTGACGAACCCGTCATTTGTACCAATCGAAGAAGTCGTGATGCGAGAGCAACAGATCGACCAACTCAAGGAGGCCGTGATCAAAATGGAGAGCCGATGGGAAGATACTGTCCAACTGATGGATGGCTGGCGGAAGAGAATGGCGACAAGCGGCAAGCCCATTGGAGAGGAGGATATTATGATGGGGTTGCACTTGAGCCCAGTTCGCGTCTCTGGTGTTGAGGAAACGAGATACGCTCGCGAGTCTATCCTACCAGTCGTTGAAGAGGAGGAAGAGCCCGAGGAAGATATATATGGATATAGTGATGACGAGTTTAGTGGCTTCTCTGGCGATGGTAATAACGGCGAAGAAGAATACGGGGACAACGGCAACGGCAACGACGATAACGCCGCCGACGATGATGTGGCAGCTATGGAATGCGACACTGAAGAGCCGAATGGCCACGTATCGGAGACAGGAGAGGCCACAATGGTAATCGACGATATGGGACAACCTATGGAATTGGAGTCACTATCTGAGCAGTCTCAGACTGGCCCTCTTCAGAACTCCTCTTCGGCTGGCAACCGTGGTCCTCAGCAGAGCACACTCCGACCGAAGCTTACTTACACTGCCTCTGTCGCGAGGGGGCCACAACAGCCTGTTACAACGGCCAATATGGATACTGCCAAGCAGATGCTTGACCGGGTTACCAGATCTCTTGCTACCCAACGGCAGCTGCCTGTTGCCACAAAGGCTAACAAACCCGTAGAGGAAACCCGTATGGGTTCTACAACATCTCTGGACGAAGCTCTACTGGGAAATAATGAAAAGGAGACTAGCAAGAGAGAAAACAGTCGTTCTGAAGAGCATGCTCCTTCGAGGGGCGGACTCGCTGTTGGCACTGCTCCAAAAGCTGGAAACCTGCGCTCAAATCCACGCCGTGTGCCCGTTCGTTTACCACACCCGCGATTACATGGCGCGAGGCCTCAACCTCCGTCTCCATCCAAGACTGCGATTGCTGCCAAGCTCGCTGCTGCAGAAAAACAAGCTGATGCTGCCCGTGCCCGCGCAAAGCTCAGAGCGCTCCACACCACGGAAGTTGCCCAACAGCCTACCGTGGCCTCTGCCGAAGGATCGTCAAGGCCGGCAGCTACGAGGACGGGCATTCCAGCCGTTAATAGCGCAAGGGGTTTGAGTCCGGTAAAGAGAGAAGTTGCGCAGCCGGAAGCACAGCAGCCGGAGAAACGCAAGAGGGACAGAAGGGCGGCCAAGGTTACGTCGAGGCGGAGGAGCACGCTTAGTCCTTTTGAGCTGCAGAGCTTGATATCCGGCAATGTTGAGTGAGTGGCTGGTGAGAGTGTGATGATGTGATGATGTGACGATACTGCGGCAATCTTTGGACATTTGGATGGTGGCGTTTTTATTGATGCTGTCTAGAGTTGAGAAGGGCTTTGCCATTGGCGTTTCTATGGATGGTTGAGCACGGTATATACAATATTGGTAGTCACGGACTATATGAATATAACAACCCCTTGATTTAATATTATATGTTAATTATATTATTCTGGTCATTGAAGATATAATTCGTTCCAACTTTGCTAGCTGAAGAGAAGAAGTAATGCTTGATGCTGAAAGGGCCGGTAGCAGAAAGCACAGAGGAAATCAATCTTGGTAGTACATCTGACTGCTCTTATTTCCCTCCCAAGCTTGCCCGAGATCCATATACTTCGTAACCACCGCCTCCCCCCCAGGTGAGCTTGGAAACGCCTTTATGAGCGAAATACCATATTGGAGAATCCCCACCGCATCGCTCAAGACCACTGCCCCTTCGTCTTGACGGGTGAGAACAAGCATGTGCCTCTCGCTCCAATCTGCATCGCCGAGGACAGGGTCTTCAGGGGTGATGTTGTCAATGGCGACAATGGAGGGCTCAGGGGTAGCAGACATGTTCATTCTCGGGTCCACGTCCATGGAATCTCGCGGCCAGGGGGCTTTTGGCGAGAACGGCGCTGGTTTACCGTGGCTTGGGCTGGATCCAAGGGTAGAAGCCGCCCATAGCGTCAAGACTGCCCTGTGTACGGCTGTCGACCACCACCAGGGATGTGCGTCGTCGTTGATGGCGCGCAAGTACCGTAGCGCTTGGCCGCAGTGGAAAATGGCGTCTTGGCGGTTGAAGATGCTTCTCTCGTTTTGGAGAGATTGTTGCCAGAAGGTGATGCTGAGGCTCTCTCTGTCGGCGAGGCGCTCGATGTCGACGAAGTTTGCCACGAGGTTGAGGCATGTGAAATGATACAAGATCAAGGCTGGTGTAGTATCTTGGGGGTAGAGATTTTCGGTATGACATTGCATTGCTAGACTGTGCCACTCTTGGAGAAGTCTCTGCGATTCTAGTAGAGCAGAGTTTGCTGCGTCGGATAATACAGGAGAATAGCTGTGCTTTGCCAAATAAAGGAGACTTTGTGAATGGTGAACCAGAGCTTGCAGCGGGTGAAGAAGAAGCTGGAGATGCCGTGGTGGTACTCTTTTTGGCAGGGTCCCGTGAAGAAAGTCTTTGAATAGTTGATTCAAGGTCGGGCGAGGCTCAAAGTCGAGTGTTTCTTCTGTTTTAATGTCGGCGTATAACCCATCTAAAAGATACAGATTGCTAGTCTGCGAGAGGTTTTTCGTATCCCATGGAAGTTCGGGATCGGGGAGAGGGCGTCCCAAGTCGCACGCGGAAATGGTCTGCGCCGTATCGTAAAGGAGGCTCAGCTCGTGATCCATTTTGACCCAGTTATATAACAATCTACGTAAATGGTTAACATCTGTCACACGAGTTGTCATGGATATACATACCTATCGCGAGTTGAGTACCGGCTCTTTGCCTTTGGTTGTTGATGCAGCTGCATCGATTCGCCCACAGCAAAGTCTGGAGCATGGCTATCAAATAGTCCCTTTTGTCTAAGCTTCTTTATCCAAGTTCTTGCACTGGATAAGCTTGGAGTTTCTTGCGAATGCGGCAGGTTGGGGGCGCTGCAGATGTCGAGCCTGGATTTGTGACTGCCCCCCAAGAAGCTAGAGGCGTCTTCACGAGCATCCGGCGAGTGGACCAGACCGGCATAATCTTTCATCTTCGGTAAGTATGATACCTCGAAGAGAGTATGGGAGCTATTGGGGTCGTTGAGTAGGTTTTCTGGGTAGTATCGATGGCTTTTCGGTATTCTCATCGAGATGTCGTTGTTGAGGAGGTCAAGGTTTGTAGAAAACTCGGAAAAGATAGGGATGGGCGAGTTTTGTTTATTTTCAAAGGCGTTCCGGTTATCTGAATAAGATGAGCTGCCACCCAACGATGGGGCAACAACGGAGTAGCCGGATAATGGCGAAAGTGGGTTGAGGATATCCCAGAGACTATCATCCTGTTGATCTGCATCTCCACGTACACCTTGTGAGGAATCTTGAGCAGTGTTTTCAGGATAGTGTCCCACATCAAAAGAAAAGGAAGTCTTTTGAAATGGCTGTGATCCAAAGCAGAAGCCGGTTAACTGGCCCTTTGTCGATGAGGGTGTCGCTTGTGCTGCCCGGATCGCAGCCTTGGAGGCTCGACGGGCATATCTGGCGGTGCATTGTAGATTTTTATCGATACATCTCGAGCAAGGGATCTTTTTGTCACAGCCCGTCTTTGCACTCGCGCAGTTTTGACAGGCGATGAGTGTGCGTCCAGAGATGTAGGGGCTGTTCGCAGTTCCAGACGAGGGCTCGATATAATCTCCCGGTCTGTGAAGCGTCATAGTGTAACTTTGCACCCGGAGGTTTGAACTAGAGGGAACGAACGAGCTATAGGCCAAAAAAATATGAGTGAACATGAACGATGGCAACGCGTTTAGCGGTCAGGATATACTCGCAAGGGGATGAGAGTCTTGTGGAAGTCGCCGCTGTGGATCACCATTTTCATAATAAGAATGATTCTGGAAAGTATGGTCATGGATAGCATTCAGAGAATCTATATTGGGATAATTAGTCTTTGTAGGTAATGCAACAAACCGCCAGGCCTCAAAGGAAATCTGGTTTGCAACAAACCCCTTTGTTTGTGTGGCTCGTCAGCAACGCCGAGAGCGGCTAAGAGAGTCCATGTTAACCGATTCAAGAAGGTGTCGCGAAGAAGCCACTGTTGTATACGACAGCTGAGAGAAGAAGGATGCTTCTTGTGGACAATGAGATTTAGTTGTGTTGCGCGTACGTCTCTAGTATAGGTGCGTACGTATTGCGTAAAGGGGGCTAGTCAATGGCTAAACGAAGCTCGGTGTGTGTGGTTTAATCGACGTGAAACCGCCATACGGCATGATCTTTGCAAGAATGTGCAACTTTGAAACGGTTGGATAGCCTTCAACTCTGATGGATGATAAGCACGGCGCTTCCAGAGAATAAGCACAGGTATCCAGTCCGATACTGAAGAGAAGTGGCTACGATATTGGTTTTGTGATGTGTAAGGTGAGAGAGACCCTTATTTCTGGATAGGTAGTTATTGCCGACTTACTGCAGGTATCGACTTCATTCTTTGGCAAATGGATTCAAATATTGACGACAAGGCAGCAATTGCCGGAGGGTTTGCTTTTCCATGGCAAGGGGAAAGGCTAGACATCATTAATAAGATGACATAGAGTACGGACAAGCTTTTTTGAAGGTGACAGATTCCCTGCAACCGGTCCAGCTGAGAAAATTGAAGAGACGCCAATGGTATTTCCTTGGGTGTTCTGTGCTGTATTGGCCATGTATCGGTCGAAAAGAGAGGCAATCTCAACTGTAGAGCCAGAGCTGGTGTTGGCCCTGAAGTTGAGAGTTTCAAACGTTATCAAAATGTTGATTCACAGTAGCATCTCGTCTTTGTAATTGACCCATTCTATTTTGGCATTCTGCACTTGCTTATGGACGAACAGAAGTCAACGATGCTAGATTATGATACTCTGTACAATCTTGACTTGTGTGAGGCAAGCTGCATCTGATGTGCAAACTATGCACTCCTATGCAAGCCAGGCTGGCCAAGTGTTGGTGTCTGGGAGCCTTCTTCTGTTAGTGTTGTAATCTCTGAGGAAAGTATGCGAGTGGTTATTTTAGGCTTCCATGATTGTCTCACATATAATATCCCGTATAGCTAGGCGGCCACGAGCGTGAAACTGTGTGACCATGTAATATACGTGTTCTGGCTGACGTGTGGTTTGAAGGCAAACCGGAATTCATAAGACTAAGCATGTTGTTGACCCAGCGGCTAGCCGATCTCTGGGGTGTCTTCTTCGTCGAATCTTCTGCGGCTTGCATTCGTCCGGCTTTGGGCAGCGTCAAGTGGCGGCTTTTTGGGATGCGACTTGGATACAGCATTGCTGCCCATCTGGTTGTTTCACCGATTGTGCAGATTGCACAGTTTGGAAACTCATCCTAGTTTGTATATATATATTTGCGATTTGATTATCTTTAAACAGGCAGCCGTGATGAGTTGAAAGACTGATGGAGAGTTGCTGTGCATTATTCCAGGTTGCTCGGTGTGAAGTCGAGTCCTTGACTCCCAACGATGCAAGGATGTAGAATTAGGATATCTGCAGTCTGGAATACGACAGCGACGCGTCACTGGATAGAATTCCTTGATGGAAGTGGAGGGCCTTGAAGATCTTGAAGCGGTGCGACTTAGGCCCCTCTGAACTTGACGAGGGGGTTGAATGGCTCGACGATTCAAAGATTCGATTTCCAGTGTTGTGTAACAACCCATGATTCATGATTCCTATGTAATTAAATGTTAGCACAGAGGGATAATGAATATAATGGATTTATTACATGGCCTGTGATACACCACGTTGGGTTGGGATCAGGAGTGGCAGATGATTAGACTCTGTGCTTCACTCTCAGCTCTCGCTCGCAGTTTGTAAGTGAAGCAGCATTTGGGCCGCGACGGATCGTGCCGAATGCAACCCATTTTCGAGTGATGAGGGGAATAATATGCAACAGTATGAGAATTAGAGAGTGAAGAATGAATGTCGTGTAGCTTTGAAGCACTCGGGCGTCGTGGGAGGTAAGAGTGGGAATCCTGATGGCAAGTAGATGGATTTGTTATGGAAGCGGAGAGGTATAAGAGTGCCAGTCTGTATCTACAGTGTCCATAGTGCCCTGTTGCGCCATTGCTTAGGCCATTGCTACAGCGCCTTAGTGGACGATTACGTATTGATCTGATAAGCAGCTAACGTGTACAGGCGAGATAAGAGAGCAGCTTACTGGCCAAGCTGCTAGGCTACCTATAGGTAGTAGCAGGCATATCAGCATCTCACCTTTTGGACAACTCACCACATGCATTGCCCATAATCTCTACAAACTCACGCAGCCTCGTCGCATCATGAAGCTCGTCATTGCCGTTCCAGCAATTGCAGCCCTTGTGCTGAGGGCCTGGAAGAAGAAGTCCCTGACCCCCGCAGGTCTGGTGGCGGCTACGGCCACAGCTATTGCGCACGCCTATCACCCGTGGAATCTTCCCTTTGTCCTCCTGGTTGTCTTCTTTTTGGCCGGCACGCGAGTCACGCATGTGAGTCAATGAGGTCGATGTAGTTGTCATCGCTGCAAGCCAGAGGTGCTAACGATGGAGCCAGGTCAAGGAAAATGTCAAGGCCTCGCTCACCATGAGTGCAAAGGGAACCTCGGGCGGCGAGGGCCCTCGAACACATGTCCAAGGCAAGCAGACGAATTCCGCACATGGCTGTGCATCTAGTTGCCAGAGTGAAGCTAATTTCGTGCCCAAGTCTTTGCCAATTCGCTCGCGGCATCCATCTTGTCTGTGCTTCACGCCAACCAGCTCTACGCTCGAGCTGCTGCCCTCAGGACTCCAGGAGCTCCGGAACCGAATGGATCCATGTGTTACTCGTGGGGAGGCGATCTCTTCATCGTCGGCATCATTGCCAACTACGCTGCGGTTGCGGCTGACACGTTCAGTTCGGAGCTGGGCATCCTGTCCAAGAGCGAACCCCGCCTCATCACGTCGCTTACGCTGCGAAAGGTGCCCCGCGGCACAAATGGCGGGGTGACGTTGTTGGGCTTGGGAGCTGGACTTTTAGGATCCCTCACAATTGTCACGTCTTCCATGCTATTCCTGCCGGTCTGCAACGAATCCACGGTTTCGAAGCGCGGAGGTGGTGAACCCTGGACGGCAGACAATAGGCGCCTATTTATGGGTTTCCTGATCTTGTGGGGTACCCTGGGCAGCGTCTTGGACAGCTTTCTCGGGGCCATCTTCCAGCGTTCCGTGAAGGACGTGCGAACCGGAAAGATTGTCGAAGGTGATGGTGGCTCCCGAGTACTGGTCTCTGGCGAAGCCGAGGGCTCAGAGAAGCGGGCTGATATCAAGGCTTCATTGCAACACGCAGGGGGTGCGAGTGAATCAGCTGTTGATGAGTCGAGTGAAGCCGCCGACAAGTTCGACCCCAAGAACAAACACCGGAAACCTAGCTTTGGTGACGAGAAGGCCTCTCGTGTAGTCGAAAATGGCTGGGACTTGCTCGACAACAATGATGTCAACTTTCTCATGGCCGTAACCATGAGCGTGAGTGGAATGGCGGTAGCTAGCTGGTACTGGGGGCTTCCTTGGCAGAGCCTTCTGGCCCCGTGAGGTGAGCAGGATGGAAAGGGTTGGTGATGCAAATTGGCGATGCGCCTTGTGGTTCCTCTACTGGGCACATGGCACTGGGTGTAATATCAGAATGTGTGTAGCACTGGTGAAGACCAGCCAGATGAGGGTTTTCACATAATAGATAAGTTAGAGACGTCCTGCCCAATTGCTTTCGCCGGGATGATCTGGGGTACTCTTTCGGCGTCATGCTGCTAAGGGAAAAGGTGAAGAATGATGAAGAGGAACTCGAAGCATGTTGGATTCCTGGTCCTTGTCCAAACTTGGGAATGAAGCCTGTTAGATGAATGCACTTGATTGGCTCGGACACGGCTCGCGACGGTTATTGCAGACGAACAAAGAGCAGGGTCTGTCGGTAAAACGGTAAAAGACGGGTTGGCGCACATGTTTAAATTGAAGAGTGTCGTTGTTCAATCATACGATTTTACCTATTCTGGTCTACGTTCTGCGGCTGAAAATGACTGACATGGGGGCTCATATAGGATTTTTGAAATCTTGAGCGAGCATCACGTTCAGTGCAGAGTAGCATGAATAACAATATATATGAACAATATAATAGATATTGTGTCCAGATTGATTATAAATTCTGTAAATATCTGTTCAAACTCGCAACACCCATGTATAAAGGACCTGGTCTACTATAGGTTCTGTAGTCAAGCACTCGATCACCGCAACCCAGACGCTTGGTTGGCTTTCCCCCAGCAAAAAGTGCCAAGTTCACGCCAGATCCAACGACGACAAGCCTACCAAATTGCTTCATGTGACATTACCTTGACAATTGTACCGTAAAAATGGCATGATGCCAACATGTATCAGTAGAAATGTCGTAGTGCCTCGGCGGTTCGCATCCCAGATAACTGTCACTCGCCCCCCCAGCCAGCTGAACATGATGCATCAAATTATCAAGGCATTATTGTTTCGCATCAACGCATAAACTTACTGAAAGAAGCCAAACCAATGATTCCCTATGCGCCACAGACGCCGCGGCAGTGCAACGGTTCATCTTGTTCATTGGCGAGATTTCGTATAGAATCCTTGGCGTCCTTTCCGGGGGGGTCGGTTGTTAGAGCCGAAATTACGGCAGAGACGCCATACAACAGACGATGAAACACGCATACATTCATGTAAAAA